ATAGGATCAAGGAGGCGATCAAATTAAGGGACCCCACTTCAAAGGAAGTAAAGTGTCGGCACTTGAGAGGTGAGTGTAAAGGGGGTAAAATCTCCGTCGAGATCTTTTAGTTTATGCCTTTTTAATTCAGCTATGTTATTTAATTTTTATAGTATGCGCGTTATGTGTGTGAGGCATCCCACCGCCTATAAGGGTGGAGGCACGCGTTGTGCTATTTATGTGATGTATGATTGATGGTAATTGAACCCCCGGGCGGTTGGGCCACTACTGGACGCGGTAGATGGTCGGGTCACTACTGGACGGCGATACGTAACGCAGTAGTTGACCGGGCATGGACTGGACGGCGATACGTAACGCAGTACCATTGCCTTGAGGATAGGGACACCGGACGGCGATACGTAACGCGGTGAACCCTAGTAATAAGTACATAAATTAAGATAGACGTACAGAACTTCTATAAGCTAACAGGGACTAAAATATTAAGGATGAAAGCGAGAACGGCTTTCATGTAAGAGGAGGTAATTTCTAATAATGTATTAGTAGGGTTTGCTTAGGCAAAGACCTTAGAAAGTAACGACGAGACTGACCCCTTCTCACTCACCAGGTGTGGAAAGGGGAAGAGGACATAACCAGCACCAGGAGGTTGATCAAGGAGGGCGGCCGCGTCAAGCTTGAAGATGTCGGAAGGATCAGGGTATTGAGATGGGACCCTTTTTATCATATTTGTCTTTATTTCTTGTCCTATGAGTATACTGGGAAACTCAGGTTTTCTGTTCAAATGTTTGGATTGAGATTTGCCCAACTGTTTAGGGCTTTTCGTTTGAGATTTTTGGTTATTGTCGTTGGTTAATTTTTGGTTTGACTTAAAAACATGGTTTGGGTTGCTCCGGAGTAACCGGTTTTTGGGTTTGAGTTGTGGTTTGATTTTCGAAAAAGGTCGGACGTTACATAATCCCTACACTTGTGGCCAGGGTTGTCAGACGGTTTTGCTGGCTCTCCAACCATGCCTCGATGGTCGAGAACTTCTCTGTTGCCTCTCCGATGAACCTGTCGATTCTTTCAAACTTTTTGGAGCTGGAGGAGACAAAGGTCATCACTAACTCCTCAAGGCAGGACATCCGGTCGTCAAGCACAGGGGCGATGGAATAGAGCTGCTCACATGGGGCCGATTCCTCACTCACCATGTGCCACTCAGCCTCCTCATGGTCCTCACTTGTACCCCACTCAATAGATGGCACTACTCCATTTTCTTGCTCCTTGTCTTCGAGAATCACCTCGATCAACTTGTCAAGCTTCACTTCAAGTGGAGCGCTTGCTCCCGCACTTCTCACTCCTCTATCATTACTTCTTCTCCCGCTCCTCGTCAAACCCCAATCGTACCCCTTGAGGGCTATGTCCTGGAGCAATTGGGTCACTTGCGGTGGAGTCATACTCATCAATTTCCCTTGACAAAGCGAGTCAATGAGAATCTTGCCCTCTTGGATTAGTCCACCGTAGAAAGTTTCAATTCGAAACTGCTCCTCGAACCCATGGTGAGGGCATTGAAGAAAGTAATCGTAGAATCTCCCCCAAGCATCCTGCAAGGTCTCGCCTTCTTCTTGCTCGAAATGGGTGATCTTCTTCCTCCATTCGGCCGTCTTCCTCAGATGCAAAGCTTCAGCCGACATGCCATTGATTTTCAAGCTCCCCGCGAGCTCCAGGAATCTCTGCACATACTGTCTTGGTGACTCGCTCGGAAGTCTGTGGAACAAAGCATTGTTCTGTATCATGGTCACTAGAGTCGGCTTGATCTCGAAATTGTTGGCCGCCACTAGAGGGGGTAGGATTGGCGATTGAATGTCCACCAGCCGTGGGGCCATATAGTATCCCATTGTCCTCGGGACTTCCTCTTCCGCCGCCGCATCGTTTAGGTTACGAGCTTGGGCGGCTCCTGCTTCTATTTGGTTCCCAGCCATTTCTACTGCAATGTTGGGTTCACCTTCCACTTCTTCAACTTCTACTCCACCAGCACCGGGACCAAATTGTTGTCCCCTTTCTTCACTTCTCCTCCTTGCCTTCGCTAGCTACCTCTCTTGTGCTAGGAGTCGGAGAGTTCGGTTTATGTCCTCGTCACGTGGTATCAAAGTTGTCGGATTGCTCTGGGTCATGCACCTCCCTAGACACACTTAGAAAACAACACCAAGTCTAGCATAAGCAAAGCACACACACTTTCAAAGCTAGAAATTAAAAGCTAGATTAACACCAAACAACTTTTTCAAGATCACAGACCGTTGTCCCTGGCAACGACGTCAAAAACTTGACTCGTCCTGAATATCACAATTAATTCTCACCTAAGGTCCAAGTATAAACCTTAGTAGGGTGCAATACAGGGAAAGTATGTTTAAATATCGACTAGAGCCGGTCCGTATACCCATACTTCAATTATTTGAAACATTATCTAGCGAATCGGTTTTGGTTGAAAAGTTTTCTAATTAAAGTAAAGCAAGGCAAAAGTAAATGGTTTTGAAAGCTCAATGTAAGAAGGATCACTCGATTGTCACTTCCCCCTAACTACTACCATAACACGTGAAATCGAATTAATTGGCTAATAAATTGTATTTACCTCTAATTTCCTATCTCTTACTTGCATTTTTGGTTTCAGATCTAATAATAATCTCAAGTAGAATTGACCTCCCGGGGAGCAATATATGTATATATATAATAATCTCAGATTTAAAACAAACCAAACGTTGGTTGAGCCTTCCCTTCAAAATGCACTCCACCATTTTCATTTCCTCCTCACCAACCAAGATTCCACCCGATACTGATTTCAGACATCTCACCAAATTCTCACTCCCACCTCAAACCGAATGCGAGACATCCATGTTCAAATTCCCCGCATTTTCACCCGCCCATCTCTGATTCAGCTCTCAAAATCGGGAGAAACCCAAAATCTTTGAACAAGGGAAAAGATATATACATATATAAATCTAACAGTAGCCTGAAAAGTGTACAGCTTTCGGTATTGGTGTCTCTTGGATTGAACCTCCATGATGGAGACCTCGCCGCCGCTGGGGCGGTTCCAGTACCAGAGGCTCGACTTGAAGCGTTGGGTCCCAACATTTCTTTCTTCCCACAAAACCCTCTTCACCGTCTTGTGGATCGCCGCCTTTGGTTCCGTCTTCCTCTGGCAGCAGAATGTCGTCGGTGGCGGAGGGTTCAATATCTTCTGGCGGGCGCCCGTCCGGCCGATGCCCAAACTCCGCCCGGTGGCTTTTAATCTGACCGATTTTGGTGGGGTGGGCGATGGGGTCACTGTGAACACCGTCGCCTTCGAGAGGGCTGTCTTGGCAATCTCAAAGCTTGGGAAGAGAGGCGGTGGGCAGCTGAATGTGCCTCCAGGAAGTTGGCTTACTGGACCTTTCAATCTCACTAGTCACATGACTTTATTCCTTGCCGAGGGTGCTGTTATACTTGGAATTCAGGTCTGTTTCTTTCCTTTTCTGTTGATTCGCCTCTGCTTTTTACTTGAGTTTCTGTATCAATTGAACACCAACCTCCAACTAGCTTGTGTGGGATTGATTAGAACTGGACCTTTGAGATCCAAAATTGCGATGAACTTACATGTAAGGCTGCTAATCAGATATCGAGCACTTGTGATAATTCATTATGAATTTTCTATGGACAACGCATTCATGGAGAGAGTAGTGTGCATTGATGGTGTTCAAACTGTTTAGTTTTGGATTTTAATTGGCATATATTTAGTGTTTCTCACTTCATATCATGGTTCCATGATCATGGAAATTTCCCACCTCTATCTGAGTATATATATACTACATGGATCCATGCCAATTGAAGCTTTTCCTTTATGTGAGCAATAGGATGAGAAGTATTGGCCGCTTATGCCACCATTGCCTTCCTATGGGTATGGGAGAGAGCATCCTGGTCCTCGATATGGGAGCTTAATTCATGGTCAAAATCTCAAAGATGTTGTCATCACTGGTCAGTCAATTCATCTTATGCAATTCTGCTGCCTATTGAATTCAAATTGCACGTTCTGTCAAATACTCTCCCTTTGACTCCTAAGTTTATGCTGTGAGATTGTGCGTTGAACTTCAAGACTGCTCTTGTACAGGCCACTAACATTATAAACCAACCTAGTCCTTTAAATTTTTATAAAGTAACATGTGGACCAGCACAGAGAATCATAAGACGTGCTTAGGATGTCACTGTTCCGCCCCTACAATTTAATTTATTGATTCTGCCTTGTGGTGATAGTAAACTAGGTGAATTTAACCCACAACATATAAACTATAATCAGGTGTAACACGAAACCGTACCCTGGGAAAGAAATGTTGCAACAATTCACGAGTACATCAGGATATTAGCCTATAAGATTTATGATGGACGGATTGTTATGCATCATTTGTAAAGCTGTACAAGGACTTGACAGATGGTCTAGGGAGTTCCATGACCTGGATTTCTTGAAACTAATTGGATCTGACTCTCTTACCTGGTCCATAGTTCACTTACATCTTTCTGCAGTACCATAGTCCATACTATGCTTTTATTTGTTACCAACCGGAGAACTTTTAGCCCTCCAAATCATCAGGGAACTTTTATCCGTCGTTTATGAATTAGGTCCAAAGTATTTTTTTTTTGTTTTTTTGTTTTGTTTTAATGTTGAGTTATTTGCCAATTTGGAAGCTCAATATGGAAGATACTGATGAATAAGGTGAAATACTTGGATTTGACTCCTTCACGTGATTTATACTTGAACATATTCTTAAAGCTTTCCTATTATAGTTCCAGAACTGTCATTCTCCAACATGTATACATTAACGGAAGGCTTGGATTTGTCTCTTATTCAAATCAGAGGTTAGTCAAATCACAAAATATTTAACCTTCCATGTCACTCTTTATTCAATGATGCTGCCTAAATTTGTTTAATATACTCAGAAAGGTCTTCCATTGTTGACGTCTAAAAAACTGTCATATGCACTTTACTGAGAATTAATGTAGTCAAGGAGAAATCATGAGGCATAATATTCTATGGACAAGATTGCTAGGAACCTTGAATGTGAGTATCTGTTATCAAACTGTTAAGTGCAAAGTCAGAGTGATCTAAGATTATGTTTATTGATCAACAGGACATAATGGTACCATAAATGGCCAGGGTCAAACATGGTGGAAGAAGTACCGCCAGAAGCTCCTAAACCACACTAGGGGTCCTCTTGTTCAGATAATGTATTCAAGCGATATTGTGATCACGAACATAACTTTGCGTGATTCCCCATTTTGGACTCTCCATCCATACGACTGCAAGAATGTAACCATAAGGAATGTTACGATTTTGGCTCCCATATTCGAGGCCCCAAACACTGATGGAATTGATCCTGGTAAGCATTCATAGAAGTTCATTTATGTCAGTTCGGTGATGGTCAGACAGTTGTATGTTCAACCTGTGAAAGTGATCTGTTTCTCATGTTGAACCAGTACCTCTTTAAGTTCTGATCTAGTGCTGGCATATGGTTTGGCTGTGTTTCTGCTAGCAATATTATGTTTCCGAGCTCCTTCCTTTCTGTAAACAGATTCATGCGAGGACATGATAATTGAAGACTGCTATATAAGTGTGGGGGATGATGCTATTGCAATTAAGAGTGGCTGGGATCAATATGGAATTGCATACGGGCGACCTGCAAAAAATATTCTCATCCGTAATCTAGTGGTTCGCTCTATGGTCAGGTGATTAGCTGAATGTTCAATATCAAGTTATAATATTACCCCAAACATGTTGCTGAATCGCTTGCATTTTTCAAATTCGATATCTTGCATTTTCTCTTTATATACTTGCACAGTTGCACTATTACTTCTGTTGGCTCTTTATCCTTAAATATATTTTGCATGCTTCTCTTGCTTTTAGGTGCCTTTCCCTGCATATTAGTTTGTGCGGGACTGTGATGTTTAGAGATAGATATCAGGCACATTTGTGCATGTTCCAAAATTGAAGTTCTCTAAGGGGGCAATTTTGGTAGATTCTCATTGACCTCAAGTAGCTTTGCACATCCTACTGTACTGAAAGTTATTCAGCAATTATAGGTTTAATCCTCGTCCATTGTTTCATTGATCTAGTTTAATAATTAATTCAGAACCAAATTTTAGCAGACCCACGAGTATGTTGAATTATTTCAGGTGAATAAATTTAGGTACAAATTATTTGTTAAAATAAATTAAAATATCGGTCAACGTTAGAAGCTGCAAAGAAATCAAGTACTTTTCTGAGTGATTCTGTATGTAATTAATCAACTGGGTCAATACTCTTCTTAAACAGAAGCGTGAACAACAACGTCAATAAGTTACTGTTGCATGTTTATGGTATATCCGCGTGCCTTTGCCCTATGCCACAGTTATAGAAACTGAAGTGAACAAACTCAAGTATGTCTACTTCCCAATTTCCCTATTGCAGTATTCATCTATTGCTTTGTAGATGATAATTAAGACTTGCTGTGTACTCTGTAAACAGTGCTGGAATATCTATTGGAAGCGAGATGTCTGGTGGGGTATCAAATGTCACCGTAGAGAATGTCATTGTATGGAATTCGAGGCGTGCAGTTCGTATCAAGACTGCCCCCGGAAGAGGAGGTTATGTGCAACAAATAAGGTACCGCAACCTAACATTTGACAATGTGAGAGTGGGAATTGTAATGAAAACCGACTACAACGAACATCCAGATGAAGGGTACGATCCAAAGGCTGTTCCTGTGATCAAAGACATAAGCTTCACCAGCATCCATGGCCAAGGAGTTCGTGTGCCTGTACGAATACATGGGAGTGAAGAAATCCCTATAAAGAATGTGACTTTTCAAGACATGTCAGTTGGACTAACATACAAGAAGAAGCATATATTTCAGTGTGCCTTTGTGGCAGGGCGTGTAATAGGGACCATTTTCCCAGCACCTTGTGAGAACCTCGATAGGTACGATGAACAAGGACACCTTGTCAGGCGTTCAGCTTCACAGAATACGACAGACATTGACTATGATTTTTGAGTCGAGGGCTTATTGGCAGGGTTGTCCGATTTCCAGGGAGCGTATCCTCCATATCTTGATGCGTTCAGTTGGTATCCCAGAAGCCAGAGATGATGTCTGGATGTACAACTTTAGAGGAGCGGATGGTGGTTTCTTATGTTTTCTTCGCATATTCATCACTCCAAAGTCCGCAGCAAATCCTTTCAGCCTTAAAAAATGTTGTGAAATCCTTTTTTCGGTATCTTGTATGTTCTGTAAAACTGTATATACAGAAAGCTTCAGTTATAGCTTGAAAAGTGGAGTGGAATGAAATGAAATGAAATGAAATGAGAGATGTAGGCTCTGGTTTTGGCTTGGGAGTATTTGATTGTGTTGTGAAGTGCATTATCTAAATTTGTGACCGTATCTAGTTCCAGTATATTAACTTTGTTTTGTTCGGCATGAGAACACACCACATTGATTGACAACAAACACAGTGCATGTCGACTAATTAGTGGTGGCTGACCGCAGGTAATATGGACCCCTAGAGTGAAGAGCCACGGTCTTGACGTGTCCCAATCTAGGAAATCAGATCTTGGATAATCGAGAGGAGTGCGGATCCTGTGACTAAGGGGGGTGCTTAGTCAAGTGACTAAATCCCTCCTAGCCCTTGGATCTGGACCCATTAATCTAATGGTTAAAAAATAGGAAGGGATATTTAATTAATGAAAAGGGTAGTTGTGGTATTATAAAAATTCATTATTTTATTATTTTATTTCCCCACGGGCCACAACCCACAGCCCGCGCACGTCTCCTTCTTTTTTCATAATTCAACTTGTTCTTCTTTTTTTCCCCATTACACTGGTTCTTTCTTTATTAATCACTAATAAGTGATTTTAACCATCCCACTCACGTGCCTCTTCTTTGTTTCTTTTTTTATCAATTTTTTTCTACAAAATGTTCAATTCATACCAGAAAAAACATTACAAACATGGTTAACAAAAATGACAAATATGTTGGACAAAAATAACAAAGCTTACAAACATTACAAAAGAACTCGACAAACATTACAAAATAACAAAGCTTACAAACATTACAAAACATACTAACAGTACAAAATAACACTACTTACAAAATACCAATTAGTAAACTTGTATTACAAATCAAAGTATACAAAATAACAAAAATCAAAGTATTACAATTTGTCGTATGAAGGAAGAACAATGGTTTGTAATGAAAGTATTGTCAGTTTGTATCATTAGTACTTTTGTACATAATGTCAGTACGATTTGTATAGTTTGTATGTTTTGTAATATTAATTTGTATACTTTATATGTATTGATTTGTGATGCAAATCACGTATGTTTGTATTGTAAGTACTAATAATTTGTATACTTTATATGTATTGATTGTGATGCAAAAAACATTACAAACATGGTTGACAAAAATGACAAACATGGTGGACAAAAATAACAAAACTTACAAACAATACAAAAGAAACCAACAAACATTACAAAATAACAAACATTACAAACATTACAAAAGAAACCGACAAACAGTACAAAGCATACTACACGTACAGAATATCACTACTTACAATACAGATTGGTAAACTTGTATTACAAACAAATGAATACAAAGTATACAAATCTTAACATAAAAGTATACAAACTAGAGCAACAAAAATTACAAATTACAATATATACAAAATAGTCATACAAAGATTACAAACAATACAAAAGAAACCAACAAACATTACAAAATAACAAAGCGTACAAACATTACAAAATAACCCGACAAACAGTACAAAGCATACTAAACGTACAAAATATCACAAAAAATGACAAACAATACAAACCGAATCTATACAAACATTACAAAACAGGTAAGCAAACATCACAAATCCAACACTATCGCCGGGAAATTTCCTCCGGTCGCCGTTTAAATATCTCTCTCTCATCGCCAACAAATAATTCCCATCCCTGGCCAAATCTCTCTCTGGGAATAATAATGGCGCATGATAATTCCCATCCCTAGCTAAATCTCTCTCTCTTTGTGTGAATAATAATGGCCCATGGGAGAATTCCCCTGCTTGACAATTGCTCACCGGAAAAATTGACCACCGCTGGCAATTAACAACCGGGACGGAGACGGGAGAGCCGACACAAGTGGACGTAATCTCTCTCTCTCTATCTCTCTCTCGTATAATTCCATGGGCTATTCCCTGGGGGAAAGTTGCGACCATCCTTGGGGAAAATGGTCACGCCGGCGAATTCGGCGAATTCTTTCCACGCCACCGGAGAGAAGGATCGGCCGGCGGGAAGGTTCGCAATTCTGTGGAAAAAATATGCAGGCTGCGGAAGGGAACGGATGGTTGGATTTTTATTTATTTTAATTGGTAAATAAAAATTAAATAATTAAATTACTACATTGCCCTTCATTAAATTGGATTAATCAGGACCATTGGATTTTAATGAGGTGGAAGGGCTGAGATTCACTTAGTCACATGACTAAGAGACCCCCCCTTAGTCACCTGATCTTAGCCCTAATCGAGAGCCTGAGTTGATCGGGTCTTGTGAATTGTGATGACTTGGTATCACGGTCGGCCCATGATATTCGAGGTTCTGTTCGAAAATAAAATATGTAGTCCTAAAAATTTTTCTTCACAAATTTATTATAAATAAAATTTATTAAATAATTATAAAAAATACATAAGTTCAAAAAATTATTACAATAGGGATAATACTATCAATCATTGTTTGAAAAGTAACAACCGTCAAGTATTGTTTGAAATAAAATTTTCTATTAGTTGAAGAATTTTCAAGAACCTCGTCAAAATGCCTCTTTCTTTTAATCTCACGCCTTTAAGGAAATTTTGGAACAACATCCATTGTAGTGCATACTTTCTTTGCTAGCTCTAAGACTTTTCGAAAACCATATTCTCTATACTTTTGAAAAATGAAATCAATCCATCTATTTTTAAAATAACATCATCAATAAGTATATTTTTGGATTGTAAATGTTTACTAACCACATTTGTTAAAAACAATATTTCATACCAAATAACTAACGAAAGAATAAACTCAAAATCACCAAGTTCATTTCGTGCTAAAGATTCAGCTTCACTGCTAATTTTTGAATCGCCATCAAGATCAACTACTTGAAGTAAGACTTCTCTCACTTCTGCCATTTGAAACCCAATTGCTTTTACACTTTCAACACAACTCTCCCAACGAGTAGACGATAACGGTTTCAAAGTCAAATTAACATTATTTTTCAAAATAAGCCATCTTTTATTGTAATTTGAAAATATCGTATAAATACGTTGAATAATTCCAAAAAAATCTCTAGCTTTATGACAAGAATTGGCCATATCACATAATGTCAAACTAAGACTATGAGAAGCACATGATGTGTTAAATGCTCTAGGATTTACTTCTAATAACCTTCTTTGAATACAACTATGTTCTCCTTTCATGTTTGATCCATTATCATAGGATTGACCTCTAATGTATCAATGTCAAAATCAAGAGAATTCAACTCAGTTTTAAGAACAACAAATAATCCTAAACCTGTAGTATCATCCACTTCCAAAACCCCCAAAAAAGACTCCTCAATTGAAATAGACTTTGAAGAGAAATCCACACACCTGAGTATCATTGGTATTTGTTCTTGGTGACTTATATCGGGAGTACAATGAAGAATAATAGAAAAATACTTTGCTTGCTTTATCTTTCCAATAATTTTAGATTTAATTTCATTAGCAAAAGTATAATTTCATTTTGAATTCTATGAAGAAGATAATGATGATGAATCTCATAATTTGTAATGCGACGAACATGCTCTTGAATAACAGGATCAAACTCATCCAACATCTCAACCAAACCTAAAAAAAATTACCATTGCTATTTTGGTACAATTTTTCATTACTACCACAAAATGCAATATTACGTTTAGCAAGAAACTTAACCATTGAAATAATTCTCAATAAGACATTTCTCTAATGACACTTTTCTTTCTCAAATTCTTTTTGGGCTACTTTGTCTATTGTTTGGTTCTTTTGAAGTCCCAAACGCAAATCATACCAAGTGGCCATATTTTTAATATGTTCTAGACTAGTTTCATGTTCTTCCATCCTACCAATAATATGTGACCAATCATTAAAAACTTCATTTGCCAATTGACCCCTTGCACCTTTTCAAAAAAAAAAAAAAAAAAAAGGTTACAACAAAAACAAAATATTATATCAAGCTCTTACGAATAAACAAGCCAATCCCTATCACGCTTTTCACCATTCGACAAAACTTTTGTAAACCAACTTGCACAAAATCTTTTTGAAAATTTATCTTTAAGACCCTTTTCAATAGATAAATATCTTTTCGGACCCTTATCAACCAAAATATCAATCATTTTAGAATGAAGAGAATCCATATTCTAGGATCAAAAATATCATTTTTTTCAAAATCTTAATCAAAACTAATTTGATCCACCACATCAAAATTAGGAGTTTCATCAACAATAGGAGCAACATTAGCATTAGCATCTAAAACATCATTATCATCAAAACATGATCAATATAAGCATTATCACCCAAAACACCATGAGCATCAGAATCATTTTCTTTCACCAAAAATTTATGAAGAGCTCCTTTTTACGATTGAGTTAACAACTCAATCCTCTATCTACTTTTACGTTTAGAACTACCCGATTCAAATTTTATAGAGACATAATTAAAAATTTTACCAAAGATTAATGATTCCACTAGGCAAGAACCACTAGGCAATCAACTAGCACTAATCAAAATTTATCAAGGCAAATCCCTGCAAAGAAAACAAAAAAGTGGTTAGAATGCTAGGACACTCGGCCCACAAAAAAAAAAAAAAATAGTTGAAGAATACAGATTCCAGTTTTGGTCCATTTGGCCATTCCAATTTTGAGCACATTTGGCTATTCCAATACCATTCGGCTTGGCCCAAAAAATACTCTCTTCAACCTCCAAGCAGAAGCAGAAGGAGAAGCATAGAACATAGTCTCCAATACCAATTTCCAAACTTCAATCGCATTCCCATTCAACAATTCTACAAGACAGCCATGGGCAGGAAATTCTTACCGATTTCCGAACCACAGAGAAACGGAAGTCGCCAAATCGAAACTCGAATTCTCGGAACCAGGGGGAGAAGGCGAGAGCCGGAGTGTAACCACCGTCCACCGAACCAGTCGAAATGATGGAGTGATTTCGACTAATCAGCTGCTTCAGGCTTTAGCAAGGAGGTGATTGATTTCATCAATCAAAGGAATGAAAATCGAAGGATGTGGGTGGATGCTTCACCTTCTTGACCGAGTATTAAAGGGTGAATGAGGAATGACAGATTGAGTTGGAGAACAGAGAGTAGAGACGTTGAGAAGAGAAACGTTGGTGGATTAGAGACGTTGGTTTCTTTTTGGGAAGGTGAGAACTTTGGGGAAACCATTAATCATTGATAATTTTGGGAAGGGGAGGTTACGAGAATTGAGGAAGAGAAGCGAATAAAGAGGCTGTAGGGCGAGTTGCACGATGAACATAAGACTCTTCGGATGCCACCGATGGAATTATGATTTTATGAGGCCATGTGCTGTGGGTCAAGCCAGCACAGGGCCTGGGCTGGGCCCGTCCGCTATCATTCCCTGTCCAAGATCGTGGAGCTGCAAAAGCATATCACTCACTTTCCACAGAATGATGATGAGATCCTTAGCGATGCCTGGAT